TATAGCTTTCTTTAGAGCTTTAGATAAAAGGTTAATATCAAAATACAAAGTTAAAGTAGAGATCGACTTAATATCGATAGTAGTTAGATTAAATACTAGGTAAGTTTTAACGGTAGCTTTAAAGTCATCTATAAGAAATGTCTCTCATTGAAGATGTGAATGAATTCCATAGAAAAGGACCAGCAACACTAAAAGAACGAAAAGCATAACATGGAAAACAGTAACAGGTGAGACGACGAACGACTGAGAGAACGAGGAGGACGATTAATTTTACAAGCATGTCTTGAACATTATCTTATTTCAATTTCATTCAAGATAATCGATCAAGAATTTACTTGGACAGGCATMACTATAGAACGATAATTTTTAGATCGGACCGTAATTTTGAAAATCGGTGATTTACCTAGGGTCTGACTAGGGATAAATTGGACAGTGACRAGACTATTTTTGGACAAAATCGGCCTCTACTGGGCATGTGCGTGGATTGTGGTTACGAAAACAAACTTCCTTTAGTCAATACACTCTTATGTCAAAGCGTGTCTCTGTTATAACAATGATCAAGGAAGTAACTGTCGATCATCCGAAATTAGAATCAAGACGCACTATTATTTACAAGCCTCACAAATATAGAAGTTAGAACATTTGAAATAGGATTAAATGAAACAAATCATCTACTTGCATTTCAAAACGTACCTTGCAGTCCTCCTCATTAGCATGCTACTATTGTTTCAGGGAGTACTCTGCGTTCTCGGGCGACTTATTTGTTTTTCCGAACATTCATTTTCCGCATGCAGCAATCACAGAATAATATCCTCGATTCAATTACTCTATATTGTAGTATTGTAAAAAGCAAAAGAAAACAATAGATTTAGTGTGTGTTGCTAACAATTAGTYTTGCTTTAAATCCAGTTTCACGGTTAAATGACGGAAAACGACAAAAAATACTTTTTCACGCTTGTAGTGTTTGCTTTGTAGACACTAACCATATAAAACAATCGATTGCTTTCCTTTGCTGGATTGAATTGACGATTATTTTCTATTGTTAATCATTTCTCTCTGACATCGATCGCGAATCATTCAAATAATTTGAAATTAAGTTTCTTCAAGAGGTTATTCAAGCATGATCTGTAGATTTGTGACAAAGAAARGTTTAAATTGAAATTATAAACCGCTTTTATTGATATTTTTYTATATCAAGAAAACGGCCAGAATTTCTGCAATTGACTTACTGAGAATTTCGAGCCAACAAGRAAATTGCGTCGAAAAGTATGATTCAAATATCAAAATAGGGTTAATTTGAAAATCACTTCGTTAGGTCAACATTTAGTTAACTTGATAGGTTATTTTGAGATTATCGAAATATTTTCCTGTTTTTTCCTAAAGTTTATTTTTGGTGCTACTCACTGTGTTTTGACATACCACCTTGGCTATGCCATCTCGAAATCGAGCAGATTAATTYATTTTCAACCATATTTCAAAAGGTTGTGCAATAGTTTGAAGTTAATGATGATGTCTACCGCTTTTCTGGATGTCATCATTTTCTTTTACATATTTGGCAAAAACGAATTTTAACAAAATGCGATTTCCGTTGCCTAGGTAAYGTTGATGGAGTTTAATATTACCAAACAAAACTTTGATCAGTGCTTTAATACTGGTCCAAACACCAATGAAATCGGTGCATAGCAAGATTTCTATTTTAAAAGCAAATCGGCAAATTCAATAGAAGAGGTATATTTGAAAAAAAAATTACCTATAGAAAGCCACCTTAAGGTCGAGAATTAGAATCATTTTTCCTGATACCAGTAAGACATATGGACATCACGATGATTTCAATTATAAGTYGATAGCTGGTAAATTTTCATGACATGATGAATACCTTCGTTACCTTAACAMCCCAAACTATTATTTGAAATTAACTATAAACAAGGGCATTTTTGTTATTTTATTTTGATTTCAATCAGTGTCATTGCTACTCCTTGAAATAATTGAAAACTCCTGCAATTGAAACTCGCTTTCAAGGGCACTTGAAAAGCCCTTGAGAATGGRAAAAATCGCTAAAACTCCTGGAAAACTCCTTGAAATTGACATGTTRTTTTTTAACTTTTGGATTAAAATGTGGCTATTTTGAAAATCGCCACYGAAGTTCGCAAAGATTTAAAAATATATTCAAAAATAGTTCTTGAAAATTGCATGTGATGAAAAAGTATTTCAAAAGTACTGGAATTTTGTAGTTAAAATGTAGCACGAATCCTGTTTAAGTTTGATTGTAATAGGGTTTGATTTACACTAGGACTCATGGATATTTCCTTCAACATGGGTATCGTCCTCCTCAATACTCACATCATTGAAAGGGCCACGTACGCGAGATGATATATATTGGATGTTCACGCCCATTTTAAACGAGAAATGACAACAGCGAAAAATCAATTCACGTTGTGTTTATCTAGGAATGCCTTCTTAGATGGTAGGAATTACTAGTGAGCTTGTAACAAGGCCAATGACGAATCAATGAATTCCAAAAGACTGAATAAAATCAAGTTTTGGAATCTCACGTTTAATATGTACACAATATTATTTTTATCGCTAATGTTTTCACATTATCTCAGAAGGTTGGGCGTCACAAGGAAAAAAAACTATTTTTGACCAGGACTGACATAACTATTGACGTGCAAGTATCTCTTTATTATTATCTACCTGCGGTATGCACTAAAATTAACCTYATGAAAAATGCCAATAAAATTTGAAACGATTGTCTATCATCCTAAACTAGAATTAGGCTCCACCTATGTTTACAAAGCACTTGACTGCGATGCTCAAATGTACTATTTTCTAATCAGTTTTTAATCTTTTATATGATTTTTTAATTGGGACAGTGCAGGAGAATCATATAATATTGATTTTCAGCAATAACATTGAAACATTTTCCATGAAAGAGGTAAGAAAATCAATCGTTTATAGTGAATATAAAAGATGCGTTACGCTTTAGGTAAGGGTGATAATGATATTCAACACATACGCCCATTTTATGACTTAAGCCAGTAAAAAACCTCCACCTAACTTTAAGGAAATTTATCGGTTATTTTTAGGACATTAGGAAGGTAGGAATGGTATAAATAACCTTATAACACTTGCTAAAAGTTCAGTTGGAAACAGCTTTCCACTAGAACGATCAATTCTACTCTCACATACTGCAAGAGATCAAGTTGAATCCAAGCTAATCGAGATGAAGCTCACTCTGCTTTCACTGCTCGTTTTTGGCCTTGTTGCCTTTACTTTTGCTGCTCCCGTGATGGAGGAGGAAGAGGACGAAGATCAGGCTCCAAAATCTGCCTTCGTAGAAGGTCCAGGTAATGAAACTCGGACATTTCCTTCAGATTCCTAAGAATTAACAAATACCTAGGTCATGTTTTTATCGATATCACAATGAAAGCTGATATTTTGTGCGTTATATTTGAATATCCTCTATAGTATCTGAAAAGAACTGTTCTAGTCATTTGTTTTATTTATTTATTTATTTTTTTCTATACAGATAAACCGACAAATGAAGTCGTCAAAATCGAGAACAATGATGATGGTGAAGATACTCATCCATTGAGTGGTAAGTCGAAATTCATAAATTTAAACATGTGCTATTTACGGGATACAAAAAAGAATTGGTTAATGACGCAGGGAACCACGAAGACGAGTTTTACGAATATWTTTCCAAAAAAAATGTTTTTGAACATGCCCATGTAAACACTGTATACACACTTTCTCATAGGCAGAGAGCATCACGGAGAGCAGTTGGTTAAGTTTCAAAAGTTTGCGAGGGTATATATTCTTTTTTTTTTGCCTTGCAGACGAACCAGAAAATGAGGAGGACTATGTTGACAATGATCCAGCCAAAAAAGCACCGAAAAAAAACGCTAAAAAACTGGGGAAAGCGCGACGTAAGTTAAATGATTCAATGATCATTTCTGATGGGACAGCAAACCTTATGTCGTGGGTTAACTTAGGGAGGTCGTACATTATTTTTTTCCCGTTTTTGTTTGTAAGTGCTTTCGCACGGAATAACCTCCTAAGCAATATAATCGCTCGCAATAACCTCTGCCAATTTGAATATTCGTATTATGCATGCTAAACTTTTAATGATATAAAGTGTTTATATTGCACATAAACAACAACAAGTCCGTATGTTCTAATCTGCAATTTTAACTTATTCAGGTCCAGGTTGCTATTTGATCTGCAGGACGGTTTGCCGCAGGGGAACCTGTTACCGTTGCTATAGAAGAGGCTATCAGTACAAATGCTACTTTTATGGCTGCTACAGATGCCATCGCTCTTGCGTTAGAACCTGYATCGGATAAGAAGAATATGGACAAGACAAAGCACAGAGTTTAAATGAATTACTAAATCTGTAKTGACATTATAACTTATATAGGGCTGCGAAATGATATCATCTACGTAAAAAAGAGTCCAAAAATAAAGCATTTGAAAATAAACGTTTTCGTCTTTTTTTGTCTTGTTCTAGCACCTTCGGCATGGACAACACGTCCACATCTACTGGTAGAGTGACATTATAACTTATAAGGAGCTGCGCAATAATATCATTTACGTAAAGCGAGGAGGAGGCTTGCTTTGAGTGCACGAAAAGTCAGAAGACGAGGAACCACGAGGATATTTTACAAGCTCTTCTTAGGTCTAAAATGTAACCGCTGCATTTGCTATTATCATTAAAAGTAGAACTGGGAGAAATGCAAAGAGCTACATTTCTTATTTAGGAAAGTTTACCTTCTCCCGTAAATTCCACTGTTATGCAAAATGCGCGTGCCCGACGCCATTTTATCCAAAATTGCTGGCAATGCTTCTTAATTATCGTRCACAGGCCTCTACGGCCCGCACGGTCATAAAATGCAAGCGCTTGTTTTCAATACRTTAGGTTTTTAACGAGCGCTCGGCGATTTCCCCACGACTTTACATCGATTGAGACAACTTTACTCTGCTGAAAAGACACATGATATGATGACGGCCGTTTGAGGAGATGACACTACTGAACATGTTTGTTATTTGGGGCATGGAAAAAAAAAACAACAACAACAGCAAAAACATAAAACAAACTTTATGAGAGGTTGGATTCTGAGCGACAACTTTATACGAGTTGATCATATTTTGAGAGAATCAAGAGCGAATGCTTTTGAGTAGTGATACTGAAAGCAAACGTTTATACAAGTTATATTTACATAAATGCCCAAACAAATATATTCCTTAAGAAATAYAAAACGGCGCCCGTATCTCTGTCCTCTGATAGACCTTCAACGAYTAACCCATCTTTTTCGACGATATTTTGATATCTATTATGATCAGATCGTAGCAAACGATGACGGTTAGCGAATATTATAATGGCAAYATTTTTATAATGGCTCCGTCGCTGTATTCCATTTTAAACTTTAGTTTATTGAATTACTCTCAAATGCCCTCTTCACAGACTTAACAAATGCTTTTAAAGGAAGAATTCAAGGTGAGGTAGCGAAATACAGAATGATTTGAGTGTTTCMAATTGATGTTTTGATATTTTACTTTATCACACAGTCCTCCTTGGTAGATTTAACAGCGTCCAGGATCAATGTCTATATGATGCCAATAGCCTATTTGCGAATTTCGTCTTAGAAGTCAAACACAAAAGAATCAAGACGAGGCGCCGCGCATAAAGCTCAGTCAAACGTAAAAACTATTGTATTCACGAGTGATTGAGCTCTATGCACGGCGCCTCGTCTTGATTMATTTGTGTGTGAGATTTGAGGCAAAATTCGCAAGCCGGCTTTAATGATTTAACAGCAAGAACATGCAGACTCATGAAGTTCTGCATAACATTGTCAAAGTAGGGTTTTGTCAATAAATGATTTAGACCTTAACTTGTTTCTCCTTTTTGCTCAGATATCTCAAGAGATTTCTGTTTCTGACATAAATATAAGGAAAATTTCGATATTTGCTTCTTCTTCTTTATTTAYTGTGGTTAGTCAAACCGTACCAACACCTCCTTCATTGTTTTTTCTGATCGTCAGCAGTATACTGTAATACTATAAGCAAGGAAGTACCTGTCTATCATATCATGTCAATCACGATCAGATCGCCACGATTTCTTATTACAAAGGTATTTTACAGTTAATTTTGATAATTTGAATAAGTTCTTATCCACGTGCAAGTATTAAAGTATTGACGAGTTGTAAAGATACAATTAGAATGAAAGTGTTACAGTTAAGAAAGATTACCATTGAACGAAGTATACATAATTTTTAATTCAGTGAAAATTCCGGTAGGATCCAGCACATCGAAGGATTGTTGTTACTAAAACACACTTCCTTTTGTCAATATCTGAAATGCACATAAATATTCCGCACTTTATTCAAAAAAGAATCCGCCCTTTATTCAAACTAKRACGAAAATTTCTAGGAGCTTGGAAGCAAATRTCTGTCATCATAAATTATRACYWAACCACTTGAGCATATGGTCATTAACTAACCGATACTCAATTATCTCGTTTTCTAATAATGTTTATTCGCTATGAAATATCAATCTAAGAATAACAAAGGTGACTTTCGGTGACTTTCATTAACCCTGTGACTCATGCCGCCCGAAACATAATAACAATACCAACTATATTGGGTAATAAATTAAACGGCAAAGCAAAGCTTTTTTCCAATCTCGCCGATTAGGGAAGAAAACTAAATATTACATAACAGTTCAGTTGGAGGTTAAAAAAACTTCTTTGAGTCTCAAGTTCCTTGGTAGCAAAGAGTTKGGTTTTAGCTAGTTTCCAGCTTGATGGCAACTTTGGTATGAGCGTATTACCTAGTATTTGCTGTCATATTTTTGTTTCTTTAAATCCACGTGGATTAGCTACGAATATTGACAGTGAAAATTGCACTTTTTATTTCAACGATTGTTTCCCTACAATATTCTKGTTTCAAGCAAGTAAAGCACTGTTTCTGATAAAATTCAGTCMTAGTTCTGCTATCTCAGCCATTACTTTTTCCATTTTTTAATTTCCTACACAGCTTCTGAGATGGTTTTCTCTTTGAACCATGCTTTAAAACAAGTGTTCTAGCCGCATTTTCGCACGCAATGAACTCTGGGAAGACAGCTTAAACGGCACCAGCAACCAGCAACCGCCTCCTCCATCCTCAAATAAAACTATTTCTACTATATATTGTGGTGGTTAACCGAACCGTACCACTTCCTTCAGTCGTTCTTTCCAGTTAGTCCGGCTGCGTCTTTTCTTCAGTACATCTATACAAGTGCGTAATTATAGCCAAAATCAGCAGTTCTCCTTGTACCCATCAGCTGGAACAAGGAAGTACCTGCATGCCCATCATCTCAAACACGATCTACGCCACGCTTATTTAACAGCRCACTTTTACAGTTCATTTTGATAATTCSAATCAGTYCATATCCATGTGCATACATGTACTGATGAATTTGTATTGACGAGTTCTAAAGATACAACAATTTGAAAGATAGTTTTATTGAAGAAAAGTACATCTCCACAATGCGGCCACAGCCAAAAATCGGCAGAAAAGATTTCTGCTTTCGAAGAGGAAATGCACATATTTTTTTAATTCAATGGATTTTCTTGGAGGATCCAGCACATCGAAGCATTGTGGTTACTAAAACACACTTCCTTTGGTCAATACCTGCATAGCGCATAAATCATCTTTACTCAAACTAGATGCAAAACTACAAGGAGCTTGGAAGCTTATGTCTGTCATTCTAAAATGAAATTAAACCACTTGAGCATATGGCAAGCGAGGGAAGTTCTGCATAGCATATTTCCAAAGTAGAGTTTGTTAATAAAAATGCTTTGACCTCGTCTCTTCTGCTCGTATATATATATCTCAGGACATGCTTCTATCATGAAAACGAAATTCATTATTTAGTTCTCTTCTCTTTCTCTACTGTGATTTACCAAACCGTACCACCACCTTCAGTCCGGCATATCATCTTTACAGTTCGTCAGCATACTATTTATTGAAATACTACATAAGAAACAGTGGCGGCTCGGTCCGGATTTTCCCTAAATAGGAATGCAAGGTTCTCAGGAGAGGGAGCGCATCCCTCGGACCCACCAGCTGTATAGTTCCGCCACTGAACAAGGAAGTACCTGCCAATCGTCTAAAAGACTATTTACGGCAGGCTTGTTTAACAGCGCGCTTTTACTGTTAAATTTGATAATAAAAAGTTCTTATCCGTGTGCATGTTAAGCATTAACGATTTCTAAAGATTAGAATTCGTTAATAAACTTAATATGCACACGGATAGTGCTATCTACACAATGCCGTAACAGCCAAATTCAGCAGCTAAGATTTCTAATATGAAGCAGATCTATACACAAATTTTGATTCAATGAGTTTTCCGGTAGGATAAAGTGCACATCGAAGGATTGTGGTTACCAAAACACACTTTCTTTAGTAAATATCTGCATTTGAGCGTAAATATTCCGGTCTTTATTCAAATTAGATGCAATAATGCAAGGAGCTTGGAAGCTTCGGCCTGTCATTCTAAATAAGAATAACCACTTCAGCATCTGGCAATCGAGACAAGTTCTGCATAGCATTTTCAAAGTTAAGTTTTGTCTGTAAACTGCTTTGACCTTGTCTCTTCTGCTCAAATATCTCAAGANATTTAATTCCATTCATATCATTGAAACATTTTTCATGAGAGAGGTAACAAATTTAGTCGTTTACACAGTGAACATTAAAGACGCGTCATCCTTGACAGAAGGAAGATAATGATATTCCACGCCCATTTTTTGACTTTAGCCAGTAAAAATCCTCCACTTCACTTTAAGGAAATTYATCGGTTATTTTTAGKATATTAGGAAGGTAGGAATGGTATAAATAACCTTATAACACTTGCTAAAAGTTCAGTTGGAAACAGCTTTCCACTAGAACGATCAAATCTACTCTCACATACTGCAAGAGATCAAGTTGAATCCAAGCTAATCGAGATGAAGCTCACTCTGCTTTCGCTGCTCGTTTTTGGCCTTGTTGCCTTTACGTTTGCTGCTCCCGTGATGGAGGAGGACGAGGACGAAGATCAGGTTGATTCAAAATCTGTCATCGTAGATGGTCCAGGTAATGAGAATCGGACATTTTCTTCAGACTCCTAAGAGTTTACGGATAATTGTGAAAACTGTTGTAGTCATTTGTTTTTTTTACAGACAAACCGACCAATGAAGTCGTCAAAATCGACAACAATGATAATGGTGAAGTTACTCCATTGAGTGGTAAGTCGAAAATCATTAATTTCATATAGGCTATTTACGTGATACAAAAAAGGTGGATTGCGAAGGGATCTGCGAAGAGGATTTTCCGCTGAGAGATTTCCAAAAAAAACCCACCAGTTTCATCTTAAACATGCCCATGCTTACACACTGTATACACACACACTTCTCATAGGCAGAGAGCTTCACGGGGAGCAGTTGGTTTTCAAAAGTGTGCGAGTA